AAACCAGGCTGACTTACAGGCAGTACTCACCGGTCTGCTAGTTTATGGCCGGCATCCTTTCTGATTGGTTGATGCCTGTACTATGCCCATTGTTAAATATTTGAATATCACCCTGCTATAAACCAGTCTCCGGACTTCCAGACCCGGCTATGCGGCAAGGGTCTCTTGCAGGGAGAGTGGGGCTGCCATTTAAACGTCCACACTCTGGGCTCCCCTTGGACCAACGGAGTCAGTGGGCCTGGGAATCAGTTGTTACAGGCTTCTGGATGATGCTGTGGCCGTAGTTTTAGGGAGTATTTTACATGGGTTTCCCCCAAAGCAGGCCTTGGGGTGAGGGTTGGAGTACAAATTGGTTGTTGGGAAGGAGATTGTGGAAGCACAGGTGGGGAGTGAGGAGATGAGACAGTGGAGGAGAAGACGCTTGACCAACCATGTCCCCCTCCACCCCAGGACCACGGGAGCTAGGTCCCGGTGGGGAACTTGGAGAGCCAGTGTACAAGCAGGCCTCTGTGCCAGCCCCCCGGGGGCGAGGGCGCTAGAGCGGTTATCTGCCAACTCTATCCGACACTCTGGCTGTCACTCTTTGAGCACTGCTGCCGGGGCCCTTAGCTCCCTGGTCCTTCTAGCCTGTCCTATGGGTGGGGGGAGAAGTCTCCGATAGCCAGAGCCCTGAGGCAAAGAGTCCCAGGCTGACATTTGGGGGTCGGGCTGGCGTGTGTGACTTTGGGATGCGCTGAGGCCTAACAGGCAGGGTACCAGTAGCATCTGGCACGGAGTGCTCCCCGGCTCCCGGCTCTTCACCGTACCGGAGGTGGTCAGCCCTGGTGAGTCACTGAGTGTCCTTCTTACCGCTGGAAAGAGCTCAGGCCCCATCCGTTGCTGGTGGGAATACAAATGGTGCAGCAGCTGTGGAAGACAATGAGCGGGTCCTTAATAAGTTAAATGTAGAATTACCACAGGACCCAGCAATTCCGCTCCTAGGTACGTATTCAGAAAGCGCTGAGAACCAGTGTTCCAACAAAAGCTTGTCCCCAAATGCTCATCGCAGTGCCATTCACAATAGCCAAGAGGTGGAAGCAACCCAAACGCCCGTCAGCGGATGAATGGGTGAACAAAACGCGGTATCTCCATACAACGGAATGTTACTCAGCCGTAGAAAGGGATTATGTACTAATACATGTTGCAACGGGGATGAACCTTGAAAACTTTATCCTGAGTGAAGGAAGCTGGACACTGAGACTACATTTCCTCTAATTCTGCGTGCAAGAAATATCCAGAACGGGCAACTTCAGAGAGTCACACAGTGGATTAGCAGGTGCCAAGGCAGGGGGAGGGAGGCATTGGGGAGTCACTGTTTCGTGAATATGGGTTTCCTTTGGGGATGAGGAGAATATTCTGGAAGCAGGTGGTGGTGGTGGTTGGAGCACACTGCGAACACACCTGATATTGCTGAACATTGCACGTGTTAAAATGGTTAAAACGATGTATTTTACATTATATTTGTTTTATCCCAGTTGTACAACAAAACAAAGCACAACTCCAGGTATTCTAAAGCCTGAGTTGTGGGGTGTATTGCCAGTTTCCCGGGTGGGAAACAAACGTAGAGTATGGTACGTGTACCCCACGGTCCCACAGCCGGGATGGTACTCCTGAGTGGCTGCTTCGAGGGCCATTGGGCTGGGGCTGGGCCCCATAGATGGGCTTCTTTCCTGGGTGAAGGTGCAGAGGTGGAGAATTGAGCCCTGTGTCCAGGAGAAGCCAAAGCGAAGCCCAGATTCTGCAGAGTAGCAGAACGGCCCCGGGCGGGGGAGTATGTGCCCAGCTGGAAAACTGCGGGGTGTCTTGTCTTAAATATAATATTAAATCGGCACCTTTAATTAGTACACTTAGAAAAGGTCACTAGCAATTACCTGGGACACAAAGAAGGCATAAGCAGGCAAGAGCCTGCGAGGAAGCCGAAAAGGACCATTTTGAGCAGCACATAATTGAGGGGAAAATGGATAAAAGTCCAGGAAATTATAGGGTGGGTGACAGCACTTGATGGCCCCATCCATGTCCTGCCCAGCACCCCCCTTCTTGGAAGGGCCTGAGCATCGGGCCCGAGAAAACCATTTGGGATATCAGACCGAGTCATATGACCTTGGCTAGAGGGCCAGTGTGGTCTTTTCCAGAATCCCATCAGCTACCAGAAAGCTTGGTCCCGTACTCCCCACCTAGGCTGGCCCCTGAAGGTGGTTGGCAAGTGAAGTGTTCACTCCAGGGGGCTGCCATGGACTCGTGGACAGGCAGGACCCTTCTGGGCCTCAGTTTCCTCATATGGAATCTCCCCAAGGCATTAGGAAGTAGCTCAGTGTTCCTCATACTTTGCCGCTGAAGGACCCTTGAGGGTAATGGAAAGGAAATGGGTATCCCTGGAAGTGGAGGGAGGCTGAAAATTCTTTTATTGCTTCAGGTTATGTCTTTAAAGATAAATTGTTAGATGGGGCGCCTGGATGGCTCAGTCGGTTTGAGCGTCCAACTTCAGTTTAGGTCTTGATCTCGCGGTTTGTGAGTTCGAGCCTCGCATTGGACTCTGTGCTGTCAGCACAAGGCCTGCTTCAGATCCTCTGGCCCCCTCTCTCTCTGCTTCTCTCCTGCTCCTGCTCTCTCTCTCAAAAATAAATAAGCATTTAAAATAAAGGATTCTCTTAAAAAAAAGTAAATTGTTAGATTGTGTTCCAAAATGTTCCCATTTATTTTAGTATAAAACAATTGCTTGCCATTGAATATAGATGCTTTGAGATGTGTTTGGTCTATCTGTGACTTCCTCCTCCCTCCTTATCCAGAAAGAGCACTGTACTGGGAGTCTGGAAACTTGAGTTCTAGTTGACCAACTTTTTTCCCCACCACTGTACTTGGAGCACCTAGCTAAATACCTTCAGCTTCTCCATCTTTAAAATGGGAAGGGTGGACTTGGACTCCCCAAAGTGTCTCTGAGGTTGTTCTAACTGTTCTATGGTTTTCTTCCTCCTCTACCTCCTGCCTCTCACCTTCTCTCATCACCTTGGATGTTGCCAAATCCTACTGTGCTGTGTGACCTTGGAGAGGACACTTTGCCTTACTGATCCTCAACTTGCTAGTCTGTAAAATGGGTAGAATAATGGCTACTAAACAGAGTTTCTGGAGGGGATTTCATGAGTGAACCCCTGTGAATGAACCTAGCACTGTGTTTGGCATATCCTAAGAGCCCAGTGATTACTCAGTGTCTTCCTTTTCCAAGTGTTAGACTTCTGGTTAGGGTCTGATAGGGTCATGTCCATAGAAATCCTGAATCTGGAGTTCACATATCAAGTGTTGAGATGTGTAGGGTCATGGAAAAAAACATGGGCTCTGGACCCAGAATGCCTAGGATCTGAATTCCATCTCTGCCATTTACTAACTGTGTGCTGTGGTTAATTACTTAATCACTCTTTGTTACCTTGTCTGTTAAATGGGGAGCATAACAGAAAGGATTGAATCAGAAAGTCCATGGAAACCCATTAGTCCAGTATCTAGAATGTGGTTAGCGTGCAGAAATGTTAGCTATCATTGTCATGTTAGAACTGTCCTTTAGAAGCGCTCATTAGCGTTCTTTTCTAGATAACAGTCCCCGAGTTTGGAATCCTTTCTTACTTAGCTTGATCATCAGAGCTATTCAGTAACCATAAGACTCTGTATTTGAGGAGGAAAGTGTATCCCTTCCATCTTATGAGGTAAACTGAGGCTTTAAAAGAAGTGATTTGCCCAAGGCAATGATTCGAATCTAGCCACCCCTTTGAGAATCAGGTGAAGACTGCAGATCCTCTCTGCAGAAAGCGATACTGTACTCTCAGCATTTTGCACAGTTCCTGGAGGCTGGAGGACTACCTGAAACTAAGTTGGCCAGCCAGTCCAGTAGTTGTCTAGAACCTTCTGGTTGTAGTATGTGTCCTGCCTCCGTCCCAGACAAATCAGGGGGGCTGGTCACCCTGCCTGAAGGCTACCTAGAGAGGGCTGTGATCCCCGGGAGAAGATGCCCTACTGTATGGCTGTGGGCCAGGCATCCTGGGGGCTTCTGGCCGGGGCTGTTTCCTGGGGAAGATAGACAGCCTCGGTCCTCTTCTTGGGATCAGAAACCTCACCTAAACCCAGTCCTAGCCTGGAGTTCTCTGAGGCGGGGTCACATCTTCCTAACCTCTTTGTACTCTAGCACTGAGCACAAATCCAGCACCTGGTCACTGTTGGGTGAATGCCAAGTTTTGTAATATATTCTGAATTAGGAAGGGTGCATCCATTAGCCTGTATAGCTGAGAAGTCCAGAGGTTACAGCGTATATCAGGCCCCGCTGACTGCACACCCTCAAACTTTCCAGAGCCTCTCTCTGTGGAGGATTTGGCTCTGTTTTCCTCCTTGTTGCCTCATTCTCAGACAGACTCTTCCTGTATGGTGCCAAAGATGGCTGCTGGCGGGGCCAGTTTAGCAACCCCAGTGGAAGGAGGGCTCCTCCTTCCCAGTGATTCCAGCACAAGTCCCAGGGTTGGCTGTGATTGGCTAGCTTGGGTCACATGCTCATCCCTGAACCAATCATTGTGACCAGGGAGAGGAATGTTCTGATTGGCTAAAGCTGAGATATGTGCCCATCCTGGAACAACATAATTGAAGGGTTGGGGGCCTGGCCTCCATCTGAGCCACTCGGAGAAGGGGGTCTCCAGATTAAAATCAGGAAAGGGGGGATAGGCATAGGTCACAGCTGTCCATTACATGCCTGAAACATGGTGGACCACAGTTCCCTGTTACAAGCACATGCACACTGTGACGGGTGGCCAGGATGGAGGCAGGCATTGTGGGTCAGAGCCCAGAGATGCACAGGGCTCTTACGGTAATTGCCTGCCGGTGGTCTGTTGGGTGGCCGCTCCCTCTGGGATTCAGCCACCCGAGTGAGGTGCTGAGGAGTGGACCAACCTCTGATCTTTGCCCTCTGATCTCTCCCATGGCTCTTCCAGGTTCCTCTGTGACCCAGTTGCTGGCCCGAGACATGGACAATGACCCCCTGGTGTTTGGTGTGTCTGGGGAGGAGGCCTCCCGCTTTTTTGCCGTGGAGCCTGACACAGGTGTGGTGTGGCTGCGGCAGCCACTGGACAGAGAGGTATGACCTGGTCATAACCCTGCCTTCATCCTTTCCCAGGGGCAGGGGCAGACGCTGAGGGAGGGGGGCTCATCATCTTTTAGGGGCTTTCCTCTGAGGCCCCATTCTGACCCTCAAGTAGCATCTTCCTGCCTAAATGGCGTCCCTCTTCCAGCACCAGTGAATGGGGTGGCTGGGGGTGGCTCCAAACAAGGGACAACACTAGACGGGCAAGAAGGACAATGACCTTGGGTTCATCCCCCATAGAATGGTCGCTCCATGGTGTATGGAAGTCTACCCGCTCAAATGTCCTCCTAAAGGACACTTTCCAGAGATGTGAGACTTGGTGACAAGGCAGCCCTTAGCAAATTAAGGTATGAGTTTGAAAACCCCAACCCTTGTTTTCTCCTCACATTTGAGGAAGGGGCCACAGAGGTGTCTAGTGACTTGCTCAGGATTAAAACAAAGATTTAGAGGCCGAGCCCAGAGTAGAGCCCAGGGCCCAGGACTCAGGAGCTCAGTGCATCTCTCTCTAACTCTGCCTTCTCCCCGCTCCCTCCCTTCTCTTTCAGACCAAGTCTGAGTTCACAGTGGAGTTCTCTGTCAGCGACCATCAGGGGGTGAGTGTCTCCCGCAGCCCCCCGCTGCCCTGGGAGGCAGGGTCCCCAGCTCTTGGGTGGAAAGAGGCCAGAGGCCTACGCAGAGGGACACTAACCACCTTCTCTTGGCAGGTGATCACGCGGAAGGTGAACATCCAGGTCGGGGACGTGAATGACAATGCACCCACATTTCACAATCAGCCCTACAGCGTCCGCATCCCTGAGGTAGGAGCCCTCAGAGTCACACTTGAGGGCCATGCAGTGGGGTACACGCTGCTGGTCCAGGGCCACCTGGGAATAGGCTGGCGCTGGGGAAAGGACAGCTCTAGCTCCCCTTCTCCTGCCCACACCTCAGCCGGGGCACCAGCCTGGGCAGGTTGGTGACTGTGCCAGCACCTCTGAGGGTAGGGACCCGCCTGCTGCCCCGGGGTGTCGGTTGCCTTAGGTCTGATGGAAGGCATGCCTTGGACGAGCTCTACCACTCCCGTGGGAGGCGCGACGGAACAGGAGTGGGGAGGGGCAGGTGTCACGGCCACTTTCCTTCCATTCAGAGCCAGTGCGCACCTTGGGCACATGGGTTGGCAGGCCTGACCCCAGGCTTTCCAGCTGTGGCCAGAACGGTCCCCCCCCCACCCCCTACCCCACCCCTGACAGGACACAGGAAGCGGGCGGCTCCAGGAAGAGACAGTCTTACCCTAGCCTTAATGCTTGCCCCATTGTCTCCCTGGGCCCCTGCGCCTTTGGGTCGTCTGTGTACTCTGAGTGTGTTTGCATGAGCGCATGCATGTAAAACCAAGCCATTGCTGGTAATTGAGAAGTACAAATTATTGCATTACAAACGGTTCATTAATTAGCTGGCGGCTGGCTCCCAACGGTACTAGGGTTCTCGTCACTTACTGTCCCTCTCCCCGTGACTGATGGCAGTCTTCTGGGCTGGCAGTTAGCAACTCAAAGACCTTGAAGGGGGTGGTGGTAAAGAGCTTCTGCTGGGTGTTCGTCAGGCCTGCCCTCGGGGCTCGGGGTTGGGCAGCAGCAGTAAAAGGGGGCATGGGAACGTTGAGCGATGGAATCCACCGGAGAGATGCAGGTCAGCACCATGGCCTTAGAGTTCCAGCCCCTTTATATTATATGTCACTGGATCAAGAAACCAGAAGAGGCTTTAGAAAATATCTGTTCAGTTTAAAGATGGGAAAGCTGAGGCTCAGCGTGGGACAGTGACTCACCCAAGGTCACACAGCTCTGACTTTGAGCCTCTGGACTCCTAGGGCAGCTTCAGATTCCCTCAGAGATGAAGAGGCCATGTCTCATGCCCCCCACGTTCCCGTTCCTGGCCCTCCTTGCTCGGAGCTGTGAGCCAGTTGTCCTTTCCTGGTGCCAGATGGAGGAAAGTGAGGGCGAATGCGGGGGTGAGAACACACCAGAGGCTCCCACGCCCTTCCCCGGATGGGGCAGGCCAGAAGGAGGGGGAGGCCGCAGCCCCAAGCATGGGGACACGGCGCCCTGAGCTGTGGCCAGCGCGTCCGGGACCGCTGCTTGGCTCTGGGCCCCCTCTCATTTGGAAGGCTCCCTAATTTAATTAAGGGGCTCTACGTGCCAGCCTGCACTCTGGGCCCGGGCTCAGAGACCAAGGGCATGGCTCAGAGTTAATGAGCCTTGGACCCATTGCTCAGCTGTCATTCTGGCAGGCACGGCTGCCCTCTGTCTTCCCTCACAGGGGGCAGTGGGTGGCGGGGGCAGCAAGGGGATGACAGGTCACCTCCCTCCTCCCCAGCCTTTGGGCCGAGGCCAGCCTTTCCCTCGCTACCTTGCCAGGAGATGTGACCTCCAACGGTGCCCTGTTGGAATCCCCTGGGATTCTCCACAGCCTCTGCCTCCAAGGAGAGCGCCTCTTCAGTCATTCATCTATTTAACAAATATTTATTGAGTGTCTGCTGTGGGCTTGGCGCCGTGCCAGCCCTGCACTGCACAGAGACCTGGGACGCCAGAAGAATGTGCAATGACAGGAGCCGGGACCAGAGGCAGGAGACCCCAGGCCTAGCCCCCCTGCTCTGCTTCCAGATTGCTGAGTCTGCGTGGGCACGTCACGTAACCTCTCTGGGCCATAGTCGTCCTTATGTAATGAAAACAGAGGACAGGATAAAGTGGCCTGCCTGGTGCCCATCTGATGAGGCGAGGGTGCACTGAGAGGGGCCGGCTACAAGGACACACAGTTCTTGGAGGAAGTCCCGTGTGGTTTCCTTGCTCACGTGTAAACGTCCCCAGGTCACCTCCTTGGCTCGCTACTCGATGCCCTAGTTAGGGCTGCTCAGTGTGGCTGGTGGGGTGCGGTGTCAGCTGGACGGAGGCCTGGCCACTCCTGCCCCGAGGTGGCTTGGCACCGACCACTGGTGTGGTCACCCGAGCTAGAGCTTAGCTGCCTGACTCAGGGCCCAGCTGAGGTACCAGCAAAGGGCCTACTGGCTCCCGGCCCAGAACTGAGCTGGGCTCCCCTGCTGGGCTCCAGGTCACCCTGGCAACCTGAGGCCCCTGCCCTCGAGACGTGTGATATGTGCCAGAGGTCCTACGGATGTGCACAGGGTGAAAATACAAACCAGAGAAGGGGGGGGGCGCACTGGAGACCCTGTGAGGTGTCAGTGCCAAGGGGTTGCCAGAAGGATTGGAGAATCCCAGCGGGCTTCCCGGAGGAGGTGGGTTTCCAGCCGAATTTGGCCAAGGTGAGCCATGGAGCTCCTGTGAAGAGGTCAAGACACCTGGGGCTTTGTCCTGGCTGTGCCAGCAACCGGCTGGGTGACACTCTGGGCTTATTGCTGCTGGCTTCATTTCCAGCAGCTGCTAAACTGGGGGAGTTGGACCAGATCCATTCGTAGGCTGATAGCCCATGGTCTGAGGATGAATCCCAGCAGGAGCAGCTCCTACTTCTCCTTCAGCACTTCATTATCCCTTCAGGGATGGCCAAGGAGCTCCGGTGGCTGTTTCTATCTACTGAGCTCCTCTTGAGGTCATGCCAGCTACCTGCACCCTCTCCCTCACCTTCCCAGCATTCACTGCCCCCAGCCCTAGGAGCCCGGATAATTTGGGGGTCTCTTGTGCCCAGAACGCAAGGATGGGTGTGAGAAGCAAGTTATAGGGAGGCAATTTCTAGGTTTATGTAAGAAAGAAGTTTCTAATATTGAAACCCCCAGCCCTACCGAAGATGTACTGAGCTCCCCAGCCCTGGAGTGGTGCAAACAGAAACAGAACTGTTTCAGGAGCCATTCAGTACTGAGTGTTAGAGAAGGGATGAATCAGAAGGCCGCATCAGAACTTCCTGGGGGACCAGTTAGGAGGCATATTCGCGCACCCCTGTGATTCTGAATGCATAGTTTGGAAAGAGCTGGCCCAGGCTCTGCATTTTTAACAAAAGTCCTCCCGTGATGGCCAAGCCCTGGAGGGTGACGCCGGTGGCTGTCCCCACCTGAGCTTAGGAGGTGTTAGCTGCCTAGAGGCACGACCCACGATGACGCTAGTCCTCAGGCCTGGGATAAGAGTGGGTAGGAGGTCTGATCAAGGCCAGGCACTGCCCCTTTCTCTGGGAGAAGCTCATTTGTCCCCGGTCACCCAGCCCTGCCCCCTATCCCTCCTCAAGCCCCCCTGCCCTGGCCCGGCCCCTGCGCTAGAGAAGCCAGACAGGTATGTTTGGATTTGTTTGTTCTTGGTTCCCTTCCTGCCCAGCCCTCTCCCCTCACTAAGCTGTTCTACATGTAATTATCCATTTTATCAGGGTGAAAGGCCCTGCAATTCACTTGTCGAAGCCCTAACAAGGCAGCGTGGATGCTTTCAAGTCCGTAAAGAAAAGGGAAATCCTGCTAGAATTGGCAACTTAATTCACCAAGCCAGCCTCGACAGACCTCATTAAGTCCCCGTGTATTCATTTCAGGCTAATGGCTGCCATGCTGACTGCTGTTTGATTTGCTGTAATAGACTTTTATGGCGTTCCAATTTGCTCAAACGTGTTTGCCTGTGTCTGTGCCCAGCGGCACTGCTCCGCTACCTCCATTAGGGGTGTGTGTCCACCTCGCTGACCTTCAACGCTGCCCCGTCCACCGCGTCCTCCTGGGGCCACCCCCTCAGCTCAGCCCTCCAGGGCTGCCCTGGGGAGGTGACCCTGGGGCTGGGGTGTTCGGGCTGGAGGATGGGTGTGATGTTAGACATCCAGGGGTGCCAGGAGGGCCTCTGTGATCTCAGGGACAGACGTGTCCTTGACGTTCGAGCAAGTTCAGTCACCTTAGCTGGGCATTTGAGGCTGTTATCCACCTGGCCTCAACCTGCCTTTCTCAACTTACCCGCTGGCTTCCTCCACACAGATTGGCCCAGGGGCCAACTCAGTGCCTGGGAGCCTGTGCCTGTGTCTCTCTTTTCTCTCGCTTCAGTGCACACACATCATACTGTTCTAACTAGCGCTGGAGTGTTGTCTTTCTGCTCTCAGCCTAACTCAACTCTGCCTGTCCTTCGAAGCCCAGAGCTGATCCACCTTGCCCTGAGCCACTCAATTTTTTAAAAATGAACACAGCAAACCTTTGCTGACCGGCTAGAAGCAAGGCCCAGGGATTCTAAGCTGACTTGGACATGTGGAGGAGAGCGAACGGACTCTACCATTTGCCAGCTGGGCAACTTTGGGTGGTGACTTAACCTCTCTGGTTTTCTTATCTATGAGACAAGAAACAATATTTTCCAGGTGGGGTCCTTGTGAGGTAATAATAATGCAGGAGGGTGAAGCCCTTAGCCCGGTTTGTGGTACATTCAGTAAAATGCTGGTAATGAAGACCAAGGCCTTGTCCTCAGAGAAGGTGATCTTACAGAGAGAAAGAAAAGAGGATGCCTCATGACATACAATGTATTAAATGCCATGGTAGTTAGGGTGTGCCAAAGCAGGACAGAAGCACTGTGGAGAGAATGACCTGGTCTGTACACAGGGGCTCTTTGTTTCGGACCTCACAGAATGTGTAGAAGTTCGGTAGAGAAGAAGATTCTGGTGCTTCTGAATATCATATCCTTTCTGACCTTTGGCTTCTTTTCATATGTTGGAATTTCTAAAAGAGGGAGGTGAACTCTCACCCCTGACCAGAGATCCTGTTGAGGAGGGACAGTGGCTGTCTGGGTACGTGTCCCTTGCAGGTACCCAGTATTACTTCATGGAAATACAGCCGGGCTAACAGTAGGCTCCCTGGGTCCCTGCCCAGATCACT